GAGGAGGGAGGCTCAGAGGAAGCTGCTTTCTCCGCCTGGGAGGCGCCAAGATTGCAGGCTGATCCCGGCGCCTCCTCCAGGACGCTCCCAGGATTGCAAGGAAGAAGAGAACGTTCCTTCCCTCCCAGATCTACCCTCCCCCGGGGTCTCCCCATGTCCTCCCAGGCAGGTGAGGACGAGCCTAGGGAAAGGGGCGCCCCCCCGCCTCTCCCCCAGACTCCTGCCCTGAGGAGGGAGGGGAAAGAGGGGCTTTAAAAGCTTCTACTGAGTCCAGACGCGGTGGCTCAAGTCTGTCATCCCAGCAATTTGAGAGGCTGAGGCGAGAGGATTGCCTGAGTTCAAGGGTTCAAGACCAGCCTGGGCAACTTGGTGAGACCTCGTCTCTACAATAAATCAAAAAATTAGCTGAGTGTGGTGGTGTGCGCCTGTAGTTCCAGCTACTTGGGAGGCTGAGGCGGAAGGATCGTCTGAGCCCAGCAGGTTGAGGCTGCGGTGGCCATGAGCGTGCCCCTGCGCTCCAGCCTGGGTGACAGAGTGAGACTCCGACTCAAAAAAAAAAACTTCTACTGGAAGGGGGCACACTTCATTAATAAGGGTACCTGATCTCAAACCAGGTGACATGGGGACCAAAGGGAGGCCCAGACTTTACCTGTTCTATGACCATTTGTACACCCAACTCTAAATGGTGCCCCACATCTTTAAAATAAAAAAGTGTTTAAAAAAATAAACTTTTAGCTGGGCTCGGTGGCTCAGTCTGTAATCCCGCGCCTTTGGGAGACTGAGGTGAGTGGATTGCCCGAGCCCGCAGGTTCGAGACCCGCCTGGGCAGCGAGACCTCATCTCTACAACAAATCAAAAAATCAGCCGGGCATGGTAGCGCAGGCCTGTAATTCCGGCTACTCGGATGGTTGACACGGAAGATCGCCAGAGCCCAGCAGGTCGAGGCTGCAGTCGGAGCCCAGCAGGTGGAGGCTCACAGAGTGAGACTCCAACTCAAAAAATAAAAAATAAAAAATAAAAAAATAAACTTTTACTTGAAGCCCAGCCTCTTCCCAGCAAACTGCGGGCCAGAACGTGAAAAAGGATGGCCTAGAAACAACAACCTGTCAAGCACCCACGGAGGACACAGCAGAAGCCAACCAAACCACCCCCTGCCCTCACGGAGGAGATAGTTCCAGGAGGAAAATGGAACAGGACAACAGATGAGAGGGTGGCACAGAGGGAAGGAGGAGGCAGGCCTCTCTGGGGAGGCGACATCTGAGCAGAGATCTCGAGGACAGAAGAGGAGGGAGCCAGCCGTGCGGGGATCTGGGGGGGAGCAGGTGCAGAGGCGCCGAGCTGGGAGCCGCCGGGCCCATCTGAGGACAGGCAGGAGGCCAGGAGGCCGGAGCAGATGAGGCCAAGACGGGGGCGGGGGGAGGAGGCTGAGGTTGCAAGGCGGCACAGGGGTAGACCCATGGGGCCTAGGGGCTGTGGAAGGAGCTTCATCCCGCCGAGATGTCAGATGGGAGCCATCGAGGGTTCTAGCAGGGGAGAGGCAGGGTCTGCGTCACACACAGTAGGGCCAACCCCTGTGGGAGTATTAGACATTCCTTTTAGCCACCCGGTGCCAGAAGCCCTGTCTGTACTTGGAGAATTCCCCACCCTGAGCTGGTCTCCTTGGAAGATGCCCAACGTGCCATGCCTACAGTTTCCCAGAATCCCTTGCAGTGAAGTCGGTCATGTGACCCGGGCTAAGCCCTGAGCCCTGCCCACTCTACCTTGTGAGAGTTGCATAGAAACTTGGGGAACGGCTGGTCCGGGTGGCTCACGCCTATAGTCCCAGCACTTTGGGAGGCAGAGGCTAGAGGATTGCCTGAGCCCAGGGGTTCGAGACCAGCCTGGGCAACTTAGCGAGACATTGTCTCTTCAATAAATAAATAACAAAAAAAAAAATTAGGGGGCATTGTAAGCCCCATCCTGTGTCTTCATCCCACCGACCCCCAGAGCCGGTCTGTCCGTGCCCCTCCCCTTCCCTGAGGCCCACCAGAGCCCAAGGCCCCTCCACTGTCCCTCCGACTGCCTCCCTGGAGTCCTCCCTATCTTTCCAAACAGCTCTACCTGCTGATCTCCCCTACTCAGAACCTGCCCTGGCTCCCCAGTGCCCTCAAGAGAATGAGTATTTGTTGGCTAAGTAAATGGTCGCCGTATCAGTCCATTGCAGGCGACAGAAACCACTCTACCAGCAGAAACAGACAGAAAGGACTTTGCTAGCCGATATTCAGCACTTACAAAATCATTGAGGGGCTGGAGGAAATTCTCTCTGGCCCCAGAACCGCTTTCCCCTCTGGGAAACCTCGATTTTAGCTTTTCTGCCTCTTCTTTTTTTTTTTTTTTTTTTGAGTTGGAGTCTCACTCTGTCACCCAGGCTGGAGTGCAGTGGCCGCTCCCGGCCACCGCAGCCTCGACCTGCTGGGCTCCGGCGATCCTTCCGCCTCAGCCTTCCAAGTAGACAGAACTACAGGCACGCGCTACCACGCCCGGCTGATTTTTTGATTTATTGTAGAGATGAGGTCTCGCCAAGTTGCCCAGGCGGGTCTCGGACCCGCGGGCTCAGGCAATCCTCTCACCTCGGCCTCCCAAAGTGCAGGATTGCAGGCTGAGCCATCGAGCCCAGCCCCATTTAACACTTTCAACAGGCTCAGAGAGGTTAAACGATTTGCTCAATGACTCACAGCTGAAAAACGGCAGAACTGGGAATCAAATGAGCACAGGGCTGTTGAGAGCAGGTTCAGGCTTTGGTGAAAATCACTTCCAGGCCTCTCAGCAAGGTCAGACCATACTGTCAGCTCAGGGTCCCTTTCTGGGTCATCGGGCGCTGGTCATTTGTACCCATTCCCCAGCCCACCATCCCATCACCCTTGCAGTCTGGTTTCAGGGCCCAAGCACTTTAAGTGTGTAGCTAATTAACTCCCCAACCGCCTAAGAGGAGGGTACTGCGATTTTTACAAATCAGCAAAGTGAGGCTGGTCCGGAGAGGGGAATCACTCTCCCAAAGTCACACAGCGGGGAAGCAGCAGACCCAGCAGGCAGTCATATTGGAAAGTGGCAGTCATGTTTGCTTGTGGGAAGGGCCTCTGGGATCAAGAAGAGGCAAGACTCACTTTTCTTCACTCCATAGTCTTTTGTTTTCTGTGAACTTTTTTTCTGACAACGCATTACTTTTTGAGTTAAAAACTGTGGCCAAGAGGTGAGATAGAAAAGCTCTGTACTTATACACCCATTTTCCTGTCATGGCCGACTGAGACCTTAAAAGATCGGTAGGATGGAGGGCCGGGCACAGTGGCTCAAGTCTGTCATCCCAGCACTTTGGGAGGCGGAGGCGAGAGGATTGCCAGAGCTGGGGGTTCGAGACCAGCCTGGGCAATTTGGTGAGCCCTCATCTCTACAATAAATAAAAGAAAAAAAATTAGCTGGATTGTGGTGGCACGCATCTGTAGTTCCAGCTATTTGGAAGGCTGAACCGGAAGGATCACCTGAGCCCAGCAGGTTGAGGCTGCGGTGGCTGTGAGCGTGCCACTTCACTCCAGCCTGGGCAACAGAGGGACACTCCGACTGAAAAAAAAAAAGGACAGACTGGAATATTTGTTGAGTGCCTTCCTGGCTGTGGTCCTGGGCAAATAATTTCTCCTCTCTGAGCCTCAGTTTTCTCGTCTTTACATGGGACTGGTAATAGTGCCGGCCTCCAATGGCTGCTGTAAGGATTCAGGGATTCTGCTCCTCCTTGGCTGTGTGACCTTCAATGATTCACTTAACCTCTCTGGGCCTCACTTTTTTCACCTGTGGAATGGGGCTAATCGCAGCACCGGTTAATTTGTACATGGGGGCCAGGCGCAGTGGCTCACGCCTATAATCCCAGCACTTTGGGAGGCAAAGGTAAGAGGATTGCTTGAACCTAGGAGTTTGAAACCAGCCTGAGCAACATAGCGAGACCTCGGCTTTCCAAAA